GTTTGCTATCTCTAGCACATAAAGAGTTTCTTAAAAATAGAAAAGTAACGGACTAACAACACTATAAAAAATGCATTGGAGGGGCGCCTAGGTGGATCAGTTGGTTAAGCCTCCGACTCCTGATTTCAGCTCAGGTCATGATCTCAGTGTCGTGAGATGGAGCCCCGAGTTGGGTTCTGCACTGGGCGTGGAGCCTGCTTAAGATTCTCTCTCTCCCTCGCCCTCTGCCCCCCCAAAAAAAATTTTTTAAAAAATGCATTGGAGATATGAACAGAAACTTTGCAGAAAAAGAAATGTACATAGCCCTTAACCAAATGAAAAAATGTTCAACCTCACTCTTAATAAAGAAAATGCAAATTAAAACCACACTGAAATATAATTTTTCATCTATCATATCTATCAAAAATCCAAATGTTCAACAATATACTCTGACGGGAAACAGGCACTCATATCCATTGGTTATTTTGGGAATACAAAATAGTATGACTCCTATGGAAGGACTTTTGCAATAGATAGCAAAATTACTTATGTATTTGATCTAGCAATCCCTCTTTCAGAAATCTATCCTAGTGAAACACTGGCAAAAATGCAAAAAGACATTTTGCAGCAATGTTTATGATAGCAAATAAGAGAAACAACTCAAATGTTCATCAGTAGGAGACTATTGAGTAAATCATAGTACCCACACATGTAGCTCCATGCAACTATAAAAAGTAATGAGAACTAAGGGCACCTGGGTGGCTCAGTTGGTTAAGCATCTGACTCTTGGTTTCTGCTCAGGTCATGATCTCAGGGTCGTGGGGTTGAGCCCCAGGTCACGCTCTGTGCTCAGTGGGGAGTCTGTTTGAGATGCTCTCCCTCTGCCCTTCCCCCCATGCTTTCTCCAAAATGAATAAATAAATCTTAAAAAAAGTAATGAGGATTATCTCTACATACTACAATAGAGTGATCTCCAGGTGCATAGTTAAATGGAAAAAAAAAGCAAGGTGGAGAAATATACATATAGTGTACGCTGTTTAAGAAAGAAGGGTAACAAATATGTGTGTGTGTGTGTGTGTGCGTAGTTTACCCAAAAATATGGAAGGGAAAAAACCCACAAAGTTTTATAGTTTATAGGGGAATGGAAGGAATAAAAAGGTAGACTTCTCTGCATATATCTTGTTCCATAGATTTGACTTTAGAACCAAGTAAGTAGTTTACATTGTTATTAAGAAATTTGGGGATGCCTGGGTGGCTCAGTTGGTTAAGCAGCTGCCTTCAGCTCAGGTCATGATCCCAAGTCTTGAGTCGGGCCCAGGGGGGATTCTGCTTCTCCCTCTCTCTCTGCCACTCCTCCTTGCTCGTGCTCTCTCTCTCTCTCTCTCTCAAATAAATAAATACAATTTAAAAAAAAAGCAATTTGACATTGGGGCACTTGGGTGGCTGTCAGTTAAGTGTCCGACTTGGTTTTGGCTCAGGTCATGATCTCAGGGTCATGGGTTTGAGCCCCATGACAAACTCTGGGCTCAGCGTGGAATTTGCTAGAGATTCTTTCCCCCTCCCCCCTCCCTCCCTTTCTGCTCCTCACTACCCCCACTCAGGCTCTTTCTCTTTCTAAAGTAAGTAAATAAATAAAATCTTAAAAAAAAGGAACTTAAGCAAATATTGACCAACTGCAATTTGTGGACTTTTAAAAACAAAGAACAAACTGAAGGAGGGAAAACGCTTTTGAGGCAGTTGAAGAAATTTGATCACTGACTAGATAATTAGTAATATAAAGAATTGTTGTTATCATTATTGTTATTCCACATACAGGCAGCGGTGGTAGTCGAAGATAAGTGGGTGGGACTAAAAATACAGGATTTGCCAAGAGTTGATAATTGGTAATTGGGATGTAGGGCACATGAAGATTCCCTTATACTGTTCTCACTACTTTTGTTTAAAATTTCCCACAATAAAATGTTAAAAAGAAAAAAATGTATTTAAATTATTATTTTTTAAGATGAGGACATTCTTGTTTTTGAAAGACTTCTGGGGGACATTATTGTATCTGAACCAAATACTTAGAATTGAGGTGATTCATCCTGTGAATATGAGGAAAGCCTACCAAGGATAAAGCCAAACATTCTTGATAGTAGAGTAGAATAATAGAAACAACCTGGTTCTTGATGACTGAACCACAGAATAAACCAGCCCTGGAGCAGCTCAACCTCTGGATACCTAGTCAGGTAAGAGTTAACTGTCTTTGTTGTTTAACCCATTTTGAGTTGGTTTCTGTTATTTGCAGCAGAAACCATCCTAGGCAAAACAGTGGTGAAGAATGTGTTTTTGTGTGGATGTTGAAGTCATAAATGTGGTACTGAGTAGTGTTTCTGCTTTATCTTACAGAATGTTTGGTAAAACAGCATCCCTTAATGTGCCATGGGCCTTAGGCTTATGAGTCTAATGCAGAGTTGACGCTGAGACAAATTCAGAACAAAACCCAAGGTACCATCCTTACCCCAGAGTTAAACATCGTTCTGCAATGATTAAGTCCATATAGTTCAGGTTTCTTTGTACTTCTCAAATTCCAGAGGCATTAAGCCAACAGTAGAGCACCTTCCGCCTAAAGGCATACCTCATTTTATTGTGCTTCATGGATATTACATTTTTCACAGACGGAAGGTTTGTTGGCAACCCTGCATGGAACAAGTCTATCACCACCATTTTTTTCTTTTTTTTTTAAAGATTTTATTTATTCATTTGAGACACAGAGATAGAGAGAGAGAGCGAGCATGAGCGGGGGGGGGAGGCAGAGGGAGAGGGAGAAGCAGGCTCCCCGCTAAGCCAGGAGCCCGACGTGGGGCTCGATCCCAGGACCCTGGAATCATGACCCGAGCCGAAGGCAGACGCTCAACCATCTGAGCCACCCAGGCGCCCCACCATTTTTTTCTTTTTAAGATTTTATTTATTTGTTGGAGAAAGAGGGAGAGCGAGCCCACGAGCTGGGGGGAGGGGGAGGGGCAGAAGGAGAGGGAGAGGCAGACTCCCTGCTGAGCAGGGAGCCCCGTGTAGACCTCGATCCCAGGACCCTCGGATCATGACCTGAGCTGAAGGTAGATGCCTAACCCATCGAGCCACCTAGGCACCTGCCACAATTTTTTTTCAACAGCATTTGCTCATTTTTGTGTGTCTGTGTCACATATTCGTAATTCTCACAATATTTTAAACTTTTTCATTATTATTAGATTCGTTATGGTGATCTTTGATCAGTGATTACTACTTACTGAAAGCTCAGATGATGATTAGCATTCTTTTTTTGGCAAACAAAAATTTTTTTAAGTAGGCTTCAACCCAACATGGGGCTTGAACTCACTATTCTGAGATCGAGAGTCACATGCTCTACCAACTAAGGCAGCTTGATGTCATAACCCTGAGATCACTATCTGAGCTGAAATCAAGAGTCAGACTCTTAATCAACTGACCCACCCAGGCGCCCCTAGACATAACTTTTATATGCACTGAAAAACCAAAAAATCCATTTGACTTGCTTTATTGCAATACCCGCTTTATTGCAGTGGTCTGCAATATCTGCAATCTCTCTGAGGTATGCCTGTATATTCCATCCTAGTTTACCATAGGTGAAAATCTCGGCAATCACATCGCTACAGAATGCCAGGAACTAGCAATCTTCCACCTACCACCAGTGATGAGGTCCTTGTTACCATTGAACTGAAGAGTGACACAATTCCAGAATCCTATTCTTAGTGTCTGCGTTCAAGGACCACATCCAGTACTAATTATCTTAGGTGGAGTTCCCTAAAAACAGAGCAGGAACTTGGGGGCAAGTGATCTACTGAAGGGGTGTTGTTAGGAGAATAGTAGGGAAAAAGCAGGATAGGACAGGAGAGAAAATCTAAGCAAAGATGTAATCTAGATTGGAAACAGCTTCAACCTGAGCCCCCCAGGGAGCTCGAGAGCATGAGTTGTCGCACAGACTTGGCCCCACCTTTTGTACCACTGTGGCAGTCAGTCATTGGTTGTGAACTGTCTGGGGTGAGGATGGGGTGTGTGTGTGTGTGTGTACCACTCACAGAAGCTGGGAGTAAATGGCCCAGGTAAGGAGGATCTAGGCAGAGCATCAGAAGCATCCACTACAACACCCCAACTTACTCTAAGTAATAGCCCAAATCGTACAAGACCCTGCCTGATACAGCTCATCTCTGCAGAACCATTGCATTCTTTCTGAAATCATCTCCAACTACTCTCTCTCCTTTTCACTCCACTTTAGCCACTTGACCACCTTACAATTCCCCAAATTCTATAGGATGTTCATGTTTCAGATCCTTTGCACTGCTCAGTTTCCTCATCTGGAATGACTCTTCTTTGCCCATCCCCCCATATCTTCATGACTAGGTCCCTTGTACATCCTTCAGGTTTTTACTCACTAGACATCTTCTTCGTAAGGCTGTCTCTGGCCATCCCATCTAAAATTACACCTTTCACCCCTAACCAACACTTATAAATCCCTTCCCTTTCACTACTTTTCTTTTTAAACACCTATATAGTATCTAGCACACTATATAGTTTTCTTATGTAGCTTGTTTATTATTTGATCATATTCTAGAATATAAGCTGGGAAGGGTAGGAATTTTTGTCTTTTTTTTTAACCTCAACACTTAAAACAGTGCTTTGTAGGTTATAGGTGCTCACTTAGTATTTGCTGAATACATGAATGAATGAATGAATGAATGATTCCCGGCACTAAGTATAAATTCTCACTAAACATTGTTTGAACTGAAATAAACTGAAATTAAAGATGTTGGCCCAGTCCCCCATGCAATATAGACAGGAGAACAGAGATGTAATGTACATTGCTATATGCAGAGCTGTCCATAGATTATATATTTTCTTTGTTCACGCGATGCTGTATGTTAATCTACAATCGATATTATAACATATATTTTATTATATTATACATCTTTAATATTATAGATTATTTATACATATACATATTAGTGAATAAAAACAGAAGCACTAAAGATTTTCCAATTCTATTTTAATGAGTTCAAATCAAAACTCAAGAATCTAGATTAACATAAAGATACAGGTATAGCAAAATTAAAGTGAATGCAGATTGTATAGATAGCTCAATTCCTATGATATAAAACTTAAATGCAAAGATGGAACTCGGTAAGTTCTTTACTGCAATGTCATATTCTGATCTGAGAGAGCAAGAAACTATTCAGACATGTAAAATCTCAAGTCTCTCAATCCCCAAATCTATCAGTAGATACCAAAACTCTTCAAGGCACATTCAAGTTTTCTAGCAAAGAAGCCTATTCTAAAACTACGATGACTGAAACTACAAAAGCACCTATCGGACACTCGATGGCATTTTTTTGCTCAAGTGTCCATCAGCGCGAAATTAGCCTTGAGCCAAGGCGGCATCGGAAACCACACTGGCTTCCTCCTGTAAATCATCCCCAGCAGGGGATTCTGATTCAACGGGAGGATTCTTCTTCTCGTTCAGCACTTTCACCAGAGCTTTCCTGCTCTATTGTCCCTTTATCATCATTTCCGGCAACCGTTTCATGCGAAGCTGCATTCTGAGCCTCTGAGGCCATTTCAGCGCTGCTTTGTGCGGTGGCCCCCAGGGCTGCGGCGGTCACCTCTGGCCCAGCTTCAGCACTGACCGCGCCGGTCTCTACCGCAGCGGCCTCCGCATCCCCAGGATAGGCTGAAGCCTCTTCTACGGCTGCAACTGGAGCGTCTGGACTGTCTTCCGCATCTACCTCCGGAACTTCCGCGAAAGATGCTTCACACACTTCTGAACTTGTTTTCTCAGCTCCCGCCACCTTCTCTATTTCACCTTTAAGATTTAATTAAGATTCACCATTAAGCAAAGAGTTAATTTAAAGAGCATGGGAATACACTGGAAGTCTGCGCAGTCATTTGTAAAAATGAGACAAAGCTATATGGACTGATATGAAATGGTCTTCAAGGTAGCCTGTCAAGTGAAAAAAAGCAAGGAAAAGAGCAATGTATACCCTATGGTACTATTTGTGCTAGGACCAAAGGAGGTAGGACATACCTAGAGAGTTTTTATTTGTAAAGACTCTCTAGGAGGATACAAAGAAGCTGGTATTACTGACTGCCTCTGGGGAGGGAAAATGGGGATCTGCTTTTTCATAAACCCTTTTGAACCTGTTAAACTTAAAAAAAAAAATTACAGGGGCGCCTGGGTGGCTCAGTCGTTAAGCGTCTGCCTTCGGCTCAGGTCATGATCCCAGGGTCCTGGGATCGAGCCCCGAATCGGGCTCCCTGCTCAGCGGAGAGCCTGCTTCTCCCTCTCCCACTCCCCCTGCTTGTGTTCCCTCTCTCGCTGTGTCTCTCTCTGTCAAATAAATAAATAAAATCTTAAAAAAAATTACAAATATTATTGATTTAAATACAAAGAACATGAAAATAAACAGCCAACCTTTCATGTGAAATAGCCTGGAAGAGCAGCCGACTTACTAGTTGATGACTGAGCAATCAGTAATATTCTCTCAACCTCAGTTTTATCATCTGTAAAATGGGGATATCGATAATATCTGCCTCAAAGAGCTATTGTGAGGACTGATTAAAATCATGTGTATGATAAGGGATTTAAAAACAAAAGTGTGGGGCACCTGGGTGACTCAGTAGGTTAAGCACCTGACTCTTGATTTCGGCTCAGGTCATGATCTCAGGGTTGTGAGAAAGAGCCCCTCAGTGAGCTCCAGGCTTAGTGGGGAGTCCACTTGGGATTCTCTCTCTCCCTCTGCTGTCCCCTCTCTTTCTCTCTCTCCCTGTGTGTGTGTGTGTGTATACATAACGGAAATGCTGTATTTCATTATTATTGCAATCAGCCTTCTCATGATTATATTCAGTAATGTTTACTGAAGATATTCCATTTCTTACTGTTGTCATGACTAAAAGGTTAAAATTGGCTCATAGGTAGCTATTATCTGTCCCTAAATAGTGATCATAGTAATTGATAATAATGGCATTATAATTGAGATGGAAAAAAGTATTTAAAGCAAGCAGTTCAAGGCAAGAAATATGTATTAGGGTGAAAATGTAAAGTTTCTGTTCTAGTAGTTGGCATTTTATCAATCAGATCAACTGAGGGACTTAATAGACATGACTGATTGTACTAATGTCAAGTGTACTTTGGGCAAAGACACATGGGCGATCTTAGCCAAAACTGAAACAAAAATTAGTTTTATGATTTAAAAAAATATAATGAGGGAAATGAGAGGTGAAGCTGCTGAGAGAGACATACTAAAATTATGCTTGCCTGAATGGAAGCCTGAGTAGGGGAAAAGTAATATTACCACACAAAGAATTCAAAGCCACTGGTCAGCAGTACAAATGTAAAACGTTTCATTTATCTAATGCACTCATCCAAAACATATAACAATATTCTTTAGGTTTGGGTTGGGCTTTCCCTTTCTGAATGAACTCCTGCCCAGAGCCATTCTGTCAAGTTAGTAAAGAAGCCAAAAGCAAATAGTGTTCATTGCTAGACTAAGATCATGGAAATCAATGCCTTAAGAGAAAAAAATAATAAATTCACTTTACCTTGAAGTGGATGTAACTCTGCTTTGGTTTTTTCTTTCAAATTTGTTATATGTTCCGTGTGTTTGGCTTGCTCTGATGTGACCGTCTTGTAAGTCTGAAAGTAAATGTGTGCTTAAGTTTATTTCTTGAGCTCTAAAATTCATCATGCCAAGTTCAAAGGTATATACAATTCAAAGAAGAGAAACCCCACCTACTCTTTTATTCCCCTTTGGAAACTTTTGCTATTAAGTAGAACACTTTAAAAAGAAAAGAAACAAATGCTCTAACAGGAGTCAAAGATAACAGAAAACACACAGTAGATACAAAGATGAAGACAAAGAAGAAAAACAAATTATGCTAGAATCAAAATATTCTGACAGGCATTTGCAGATATCCTCTGGCATTTATCCCAGGGAGATGGGAACTTATGTGCACACAAAATCCTGTACACAAATGTTCATGGTTGCTTTATTTGTAATAGCCAAAAGCTGGAATCAGGCTGGGGGTCTTACAACAGGTGAATGGTTAAGCAAACTGTGGTACATCCATAACATAGAATGCTACTCAGGATTAAAAAGGAACAAACTGTCAATACAGTATAACAATTTGGATGACTCTCCAGGTAATTATGCTGGGTGAAAAAAGCCAGTCTCAAAATATTATATACCTTATAATTCCATTTATGTAACATTCGTGAAATGGAAAGTTATAGAACTAGAGAACAGATTCCTGGTTGCCAGGGCTGGGAAGAAGTGAGGAGACTGGCAAAAGAGACTGAGCGCAATTACAAAGGGCTACACAAGGGATCCTGTATCTTGACAGTGGTGGTGAATACACGAATCTACACGTGACAGAACTGCCCAGAACTAAATACACACACACACAAAAGTGCGAGTAAATGTGGTGAAATCTGAATAAGAACAATGGATTTTATCAATGTCCATTTCCTGGTTGTGATATTGGATTATCCCTATAAAAGATGTTAATCACTGGGGGAAATGAGGTGAAGACTATATGAGATCTCTCTGTATTAGCTCTTATAACTGCATGTGAAACGCATTCATCTCAGAATAAAAATTTTGGAAAAAAATCTTCCAAAATGGCATATTTGTAGACCCTAATGAAGATTCCTTAAGTAAGATAGAGTTATTCCTTAAAAGCAGCACTGTGACCTGACCATCGGTTATTTCAGAAACAGAATAGGGAATAAAGCTATCTCAATCACAGATCTGATGTGCAGGTTTCCTTTCATTTCATATTCAAGTACTCCTCTCTGGCCTGTGTTCATTTTAGCCAATGATCTTTTAAAAATGAAAATCTTCCTAGTTAGATAATATTGTTTATATTCTCTCAGCTTTAAAAAAATGTTAGGGATTTATCACTTAGTAGCAGGATTACAGATTTTTAAAAATTGTAAATTTATATATAATATTCTAAATTTTTAATAATCAAAAACCAAGCATCTTATTAAAAACTATACTTTGCAAATTACAAACCATTTTATACCATGTTAAAATTAGACTGTGGGGCGCCTGGGTGGCTCAGTTGGTTAAGCGACTGCCTTCGGCTCAGGTCATGATCCTGGAGTCCCGGGATCGAGTCACGCATCGGGCTCCCTGCTCGGCGGGGAGTCTGCTTCTCCCTCTGACCCTCACCCCTCTCATGCTCTCTCTCTCATTCTCTCTCTCTCTCTCAAATAAATAAATAAAATCTTTAAAAAAAAAATTAGACTGTGAACACGGAAAATCTATAACCTCAGGGGTGGAGATGATGCTGAAGTGGCCCTAACAAATCCCACAGAGTTTGGTGAATTCAGACTTGAATCATCTGGGTTTGAAACTTGCAGGACAAACAGGATCAGCAGGAATGATGGTCACCATTTCTGAATAAGAGCAGGGAATACTTTCCTAGTAGGGTGGGAGCTCCCGATAGCTTGAACCACTATGCTGAGCCGACACCCTCCGCTCTCAGTACAGGAAAGCTGAGCCTGCGCGGAGGTTCACATTCCTGAAATGGCCAGCCCAGCAGTGACATCCCAAGGAACATTACTTTTTTTGTTGCTCAAGGGGCTAAAACACAAGATGGGAAGAAAGACTAGTTTAGGTAGGACTGAAGAGATGATGATATTAGAATAATTCATACTCATGTGTGGCCGGGAGAATCTAGCTTTTCCAAATCTAATGCGGACAAACACAGAGTAGAAAAAAGGCCTGTCAGAAGAGGCCTTTGGAAAGCCTCGAATCTAGACTTTGGAAGTTATTTCTGAATGATATTACTTATTACATGTAAGTGTTTAAAATAGCCCACAAATACCTCAGACCCTCAAAAAATTGACGTGACCTGGGCCTCTCTCAGATTCTATGAGGCCCTCGTAGTAGATTTTACTTGGAAATGGAAAACTGGCTAGTGAGCATCTGTGAATTCAATTCAGATAAATCTAGCAGAGAACTTATTTTAAAGTATAGGACAAGGGGAGGGGGGACTAGAATACAGGTTTTCAAGTGCCTCACATTCTGTATTTCCTCCTGACAAGAGCCTAAGATTCTTGGGAATTAAGGCTTCCAACATTCAAGAGTAAAACCACAAATTCTCAGAGGTGGAAAGGGACTTGGAGCTCATCGCCTTGTCCAACTTCCACTCCCATTGTGAGAGAAAAAGGCCAGAAAGAGCTCGAGTGAGAAGCCAGTTTATAACGTCCAGTTTACGATTGCTTTTGCAAAGAAAGATTTAGTGGGCTGGAGAGGTTCATGTCTGGCACTAATAAACATAATTATGGGTATAGTGAGTTCCAGATGAAATTCCATCTTCCAGCTCCCCACATAATCACATGGCCCAGCCCAATCTCTGTTTCTCCAATGGCCTATATCCAACAATAGTAGCCCTGGGCAGTGAATTAACATTAAGCAGTAGAAAGACGGTAGAAGGAAAGGAATCTGGGTATGAGTAAAAGCTGATAGATCAATGGAGGACAATAATATAAGTGACATATTTGAAGTTTCCTGGTTTCTTGAGGCTCTCAAAATTCTGAAGATTAGAATAAGTTATTTTGGTTTGGCCATCTACATACAAACTGCTCCTAGTTATGCCTAAAAGTCCCTTTATGCATATTTCTTAGGGTCAAACCAAAATGTAGTGACTCTTGTGTACTCTTAGGGTTTCCAAAGAATTTATTTTACTTTTATTCACACTGAAGATTAAATTTTGATTTAGAAAGTTTATGACAAAATGGGGAATGATTCGGGGTGCCTGGGTGGCTCAGTTGGTTGGGCGACTGCCTTCGGCTCAGGTCATGATCCCAGAGTCCTAGGATCGAGTTCTGCATCGGGCTCCCGGCTCAGCGGAGAGCCTGCTTCTCCCTCTGACCCTCTCCTCTCTCATGCTGTTTCTCTCTCGCTCACTCTCTAATAAATAAATAAATAAAATCTTAAAAAAAATGGGGAATGATTCAATAGACTTGTTATTACTTATTTAATGCAAAAATATCTCATCATTTTAGCCCCAAAATCATACTATCAAAAGCTTCATTTTATAGTGATTACCTGGGAGGAGTGGGTAAAACATTCTTTTAATTTTGCATATGTCTATTTTGAATTTTTAAAAATATATGAATATTACCTTTTTAAAATAATGAAGGTGTATAAAGATATATAAAACTAATAAAAACTATGGAGACAGTAAAAAGATTCAGGGAGGAAGGAATGACTAGGTGGAACACAGGGAATTTTTAGGGCACTGAAACTATACTGTTTGATACTATAATGGATATATCATCATGTATTTGTCCAAACCTATAGAATGTACAATACCGAGAGTGAGCCCTAATGTATACTACAGACTTTAGTTAGTTATAATGTATTGATATTGACTCACCAGTTGTAACAAATGTGCCACACTAATGTGAGACTGTTGATGGAGGGAGTGTTGAGAGGAGGTATGAGAACTCTGTACTTTCTGCAGATTTTTCTGTAAACCTAAAATGCTCTAAAAACATAGTCTATTGGGCACATGGTTGCTCAGTCGGTTAAGTGTCTGCCTTCGGCTCAGGTCATGATCCCAGGGTCCTGGGATCGAGCCCCACAGCGGGCTCCCTGCTCCACGGGAAGCCTGCTTCTCCCTCTCCCACTCCCCCTGCTTGTGTTCCCTCTCTGGCTGTGTCTCTCTCTGTCAAATAAATAAACTGAATCTTTAAAAAAAAAAAACAACAGTCTATTAATTTAAGTTAATCTTTCAAAACAGTTCTTGTTAAATGTTAATAATAGTACCTACTTACAGAATTACTGTAATTATTAAATGAGCCATGAGTCTGTCATATGAGAAACACTCGAATGTCAACTATTATTAGTATTTATAGTAACATCATTTTAAAAAAAGATTTTATTTGTTTATTTGAGAGAGAGCACAAGAAGGGGGAGGGTCAGAGGGAGAAGCAGACTCCCCGCTGAACAGGGAACTCCAGGGACTGCAGGATCATGACCTGAGCCGAAGGCAGTCACTTAACCAACTGAGCCACCCAGGCGCCCCTAATGACATCATTTTTACTAGAAGTCACCCGTACTTGGCAGTGTATGCTGTGTAAGAAATGTTGATTTCACACCTAAAAAAAATCTTCATAATCTTGTATATTTAATTAATCCCATGTCCTGACCTTGACAATGCTTTGAGTTTTACCATAGGTTGTAAAATACACGAATTCCTAAACATTATGGTTACTTAAACACTTACATAATATCCACCAGCACTGACTGTGACACCTACAACCAGATAATAGATCATATTTGATCCAGATGATCCAGGCAATTTGTTAGACGACATCCAGCGAAGAGATGCTAGGAAAACAAGTTGAAACACAGTTTCATGATATTAAGCAAAACTATTTAAAATAATTATATCTTAAAAAAATTTTCCCCTTAGGTGAACTTAGAATCTATTAACATCAAGTGATTTTAGCTTAAGGGAATACAGTATCACAAGGTAGGATAATGATTCCCATTTGACATTTTCCCAATCTCATTTGATAAGTACTTATGAAACCTGTCATCTTTGTGCTTAGCATCATGCTTTTCTTGGAAAGAGTGCGGGCGTGGGTAAGGAGAAATGACAAAAGCACTGAACAATTTTGACAGTCAAACCAGATGTAAAAGAAATCCATTCGCTGTATGTACTCCACACCACAGGATTCAGGGGAAAAGATGATTTTTCCAAAAATTGAATTAAATATATTTGTACTTAAAACTTACATGTTAAATAAAACATGTTGAAATCCAACACGTTTCTATAAATCTATAATACGAATGTCTATGTAGGCAGAAATATTAATTTTTCTAACAAAAGCCTTTAAAGATGGGCAGATAGAAGCTTGTTTAAGACAAAACGTTACAACATGGTCATGTCTGAAATGGAAGTACAATTCTGTACAAACTAATAGAAATAGGTAAGCGTACTGTATTATTACATCTAAATATATAAAACCATATGCCCTGGAATTGAAATTTTTATAATAGACTCACAGCTAGAAAGAGCTTAAAGTTCATATGGCTCAAATTCTTTATTTTAAAGATAAAAAAGTAGAGACATTTGTTGAATGAATAAATAAATGTTGAGCACCTACTCTGTGTTTGGCCTTGTTAGAATCATTAAGGATAGAACTGTGAACAAGACATACAAGGTCCCTAGCCTCAAGTAGCTCACCGTGTAGAAGGAGCGAACAAAGGTACAGACAAATGATTGTAGACAAATAACTGCAATGCCGTGTGACAAATGCTGGAACAGAAGCAAGTAGAAGTTGCAACAACAGCAAGAAAATTCAGTGAAAAACCTCAGCTAGTTGCCTCAAGGGACCTGCCACAACTGGAGAGACATGACCTGGGTTTTGAAGGAAAGTAGAGGAGATTGTCAGATAAATAAGGGCAGAGAAAACTGAACCGGAGGCAGAAGGCACAGCATGTGCAGGAGAGCTGAAAAAGTGCCGAGTAATTGGATGTGGCCTGACACAGAGGATGGGCGTGAGGACTAAGAAGTTTTGATTTGCAGAGGGCAAATCTTCAGACATTTGCACTGATTACAAATCTTTGAAGTAGCAATACTGGAAAGATTTCCCGTATGTGTTTTTAGTTTGGATATAAATGACCATCTCTTGGAAAAAAATATTTTTTCCCCACAAATGTTCCCAAAGAGGCTATGGTAAGAGGGTATGGCTTTGACTTGTAGTGGGGCTTTTGTTGGTTTGAAAATACATCTGTTGGGGCGCCTGGGTGGCTCAGTTGGTTAAGCGACTGCCTTCAGCTCAGGTCATGATCCCGGAGTCCCGGGATCGAGTCCCACATCGGGCTCCCTGCTCGGCGGGGAGTCTGCTTCTCCCTCTAACCCTACCCCCTCTAGTGCTCTAATAAATAAATTAAAAAAAAAAAAAAGAAAATACATCTGTTACTGAACAGGGAATGTGTAGCTTCTGTAGTTGTCAACCAGACATAAATATCAAAAAGATTACTTTAAATAGGAAGGAATAAAGAAAATCATCAGAGATGTAAGTAAAGACTTAAACACAAATACAATTATGCAGTTATTTAAAAGAGCAATGAAATGGGAAATATTTAATAAAGATTAATTAGTTAAATTTGAGCATATCCATACAATGTGAAACAGAAGTTTTGCAGGAGAATATTACTTCCGTGAGAAAATATTTACAATATACTAAATGCAAAGTTATAGAATAATCTATACAGGACTATCTCAGTTTGTGGAAGCAATATGCATAAGAATAAAATGCAAGAGGAAAAAAAGGTCTGGAACATTATATATACTAAAACGTAAATGGTGGTATTCCTTGAGTGGTAGGATTACAAGTGATTTCTATTTTGTCTTTCTGCGTTCCTTCCAATGATCTATTACAAACCCAATTATTTACTCATTAAGAAGTTACATTTTTAAAAGCAAAAGCCAGAGAACACAATTTGATGAGGCACAGCTAAAATTTTACCCTTCAATAAAACTGAAAGTTTTATTTTTCATCAAAACAGTAAGTACCAATAAAAAAGGTCAATTAACGTCCATAACTGAAACCAGATTCCCAGTCAATAATAGTTCTTAAAATACATAAACAAATCAGTGCTACGAGAAAAGTAATTAGATGAAAATTAGAGAAAGATCAGTGTTGCTACAGCCAGTGTTGCTAAGTGCCGATTTAGAATTTTTAACCTACTCTCCCCTTGGCCCAAGTTGGGGAAGAAATTATCCGAAACGCGTCGCTACAAAAGGGGTGTGTGTTTGTGCCTGAAGACCGTGGGGCATGCGGGCGATAACGCAGAAGGCCACGGGCAGGGGGCTCATCTTTCTCCCCTCCCAACCCCCAATCACAACGGCCTCGCTATCTTCAGATGTTTAAAATTAATGGCTTCTATTTGTCAGTGAAAAAAAACTGCTCTGTCTTACTCAGTGTAAAGATAAAGAAAAACGAAAAAAATACCTTATTCTGTTACTTGTGAGGCAACTACTTCCTACGAGCATTTTAAGAGAAAAACAAAGCTAGCTGGACAGACCTGCCTTCCCTCCCACCACCACCATCACCACCACAGGCCTAATCGAAGTGGGGAAAAAAAAAAGCGGCCCATGGAATTTTCCGCAGGAGAGTTTCTCTCTCGGCTCGAATGCACGCTCTGGGCTAAACTACCTCACAAGCCTTACAAAGTGAGGCGAAGTGCAGGGGGAACTAAGAACTTTCCAAGAGGTTGTCTAAGAGCCGGGGACTAAGCTGGACGGAAAAGACAGGGGAGACGGAGGAGGTCTAGGAAGGAGCGGCTGGGGCCGAACAGCGCGCGAGCGCAAAGCCGGCCGGGGGGCCGCTGGCCGCAGGGAGGAAAAACATGCATGCTCACACTTACAAAGCCCCGACAATGTTCCAGGCGCTAGAGTAGGCGGCTTTCCTTGTTTCTCCAGTTTTAGTTAAGAAGCTTCCAGCTTGCACTGCAACTTCCCCTTTAGGAAATTTCTGAATACTATCCCTCTTCCCCTGCATCCCCAAATCTAAAGGTGACAGATGACTGGGACGGCTGAGCCGAACAGCTTAGGATAGCTCCGGGTTTCTGCGCAGACCCAGGGAAAGTGCTTCGAAGGCTCACGGAGCTCCGGCTGCCGAGCCCTGGACAAGCCTTGAGTTTATTTACTCAGGGGTATTTACCGAACATTTACTGGGCCCGCACTCCCTCCCGCGCCCTGCCTGGCTCCATCGTGCCACCCGTTCCTCTGGCTTCCTCGCGAAGTTGGAGAGCGCACAGGTCCCTATACTAATAGAAGGAGTTTAAGCTACGCGGGCGTTAGCCAGGCACTTTTCTAAGCGCTTTTAACTGCCTACTAACTCATTTAAAACTCACACCATTATTGTCCCCATTTTAGAGATGAGGAAGCAGGTGAAATCACTTGCCCAAGATCAAGATTCGAACCCGGGAAGCCTAGGCCGGATTCCGAAGCCGCGCTGGAAAAGTTCCCTAAGTCTTCAAGAACTTCGGGGCGTCTTCCCCGCGACCTTCCTTCATTTCTCCCCCTATCCTCAATCCCAGGCTTCTGCAGCTCGGGCCGGGTTTGGCCCCCAGGGTGCCGGCGGGTACGGAGGCGCCGGCAAATCCGCGCGCAAGGCGCCTGTCCTCTTCAGGCTTGGACGCCCGGGCCGGCGCGGCACTCACCGTCCTTTCGGAGCGGCGCGGGGCCGAAGGGCGCCCTCAGAGGCAGCGCCAGCGTCTTGGAGACCGCCCTGCGGAGATACATC